GGGCTGGGGCTGGGGCGCCCGCGCAACCCCCACTCTTTCGAACTCCGAGTGCGGTTAGATGGTGGAAGGAACAAAAGATGTGTTCAGACGGCTTATAGGCTTTTACTGCGCGGAGGACTGTAGGTGCCGAGCCAGTGAGTGGGGGGGCTTTACGTAGTCGCCTGCTTTGCTCGCCAGCACTGCACCCCAGGACGACTTCTGGGGCCCTCCAGACCAGCAAGAAGGCAGCCTGGGCGTATCTGGGAACTTGTGGAACAGCCTTATATTGTTCCACGCATAGGATAAAAGAGAGAGGGACGGCGCGGATTATCCGCCAGTTTTACAGATGGGGTAATGGTGGTCCAGAGAGCAGAAGTGAGTCAGTCACCCTAAATCATTTAGTGACAGAGCCAGAATCAGAAGCTGTACTTGGAGCGGCCACTTCCATACCTCCGGAGTCCCCTTTGATTCTAGAATTTAAGAAAACAGAATTAGCGAATCCCCAAATTCAGAAATTAGAAAGAGCTTAAAACGTTGATGTGTTATTTCTGTAACAGCCGGCTTTGTATTCTGCACCTGCAACATGTTTGTGCCTTATGCCTTGTTGACTGGCTTCAGTGAAGTCGTTCCGCTTTCGGAATTTCCCTTAAGGTTAAGGAACTCATAGCATCATCCCTTTGTGCCTGTGATACCACTTCCTGTTTGAAAGGGAAGATCCTAGAATTTGAGCCAAATATATTCGCATAAGCCAAGAGTCTTGTCACTCTTTTATTTCAAGGGCTCCTGCAGGATTTGCACAATTCCAAACAGGATTTGAAGATGTCTGTGTTCTTCTCTGAGGTCAGGAGTGCTAGAAAAAAATGTGTATCTGAGTAACAAAGTTAGGAAGGAAGGAAGCCTTCGAAAGGAAAGGGTGGGAGGACTTTGTCCTCACACCTCCCAAAAAGATTTTGTCATAAAAATGTTTCTGGATTGTTCTAAGGTGAGGACACTTGAGCATTTTGAAAAGAAAAAAAAAAAAAAGTGGAGGAAAAGCTCTCACTTGGAGATCTAATCCAGAAGGTTGTCCAAGGCTGGCCAGGCAGAGCAGCTGCCTGGGTCGGTGACAGCTGCAGAGAGAATGCTGAGCACCTCACCCCCTCTCCCTTGGAGACCAGCCTGAGGCCTGCCTGCCTGATGAGACACTTTACCCCTCTTTGCTCAGTTACTCTTCCCCTTTTCTCCCAGGTACTCCTTATCCATAGAACAGGCCCTGAAAGCATTTTGGCTGGCTTGGGGGTGAGCAGTACCCTAGTTTGGAAGGTAGTGGTGACGAAAATCAGGAACTTGAAGCTGCGGCCTATCTCAACCTGATAGGACAGCTGTTTAGCTTCGCTTGTACCCACTACCTCCTGCAACCCACTCACATTTGGTGGGGAAACAGGCTGACCCACTTGTGAAACAAAAACAAGCCCTGCCACAAAACATCCTTTTCACGGACTGCAGAGCCATCTCTAGCGACTGCTCTGGATTAAGACAGAGATCCCCCAACAGTAGATTAGGATCCGCCGATAGATCTCAAAGCCTCACCTGGAACCTCTTCATGTCAGTGCCTGGTGTCAAAAAAAGCTTCTGGACGGTACTAGCAGAGAGACTGTAAACCTGGGCCCAGCCAGCGTGGCTTAGCAGTTGAACATTGACCAGGAGATCGTATTCTTGGTCATATTCTTGGTCAGGGCACAGGCCCGGGTTGCGGGCTCCATCCCCAGTAGGGCGCGTACAGGAGGCAGCCGATCAATGACTCTCTCATCATTGACGTTTCTATCTCTCTCTCTCCCTTTCCCTTCCTCTCTTTGAAATCAGTAAAGATATATTTAGAAAGAGAGGCTGTAAATCTGGTTCAGGAACCATGATTTTTTAATTTTTCAGTTCCTTATGCTCATTGCGTTGGTCATTGTGTTAGCAGGCATTTGGTTGCCCCCAGCATCCATCCCACCCTGCCCCTCTTAAGTAAGTTTGCCCAACTCTTAGCTCCGTGAGTGGGGTTTAATTGATCTAAGTGTTTCTCAGAGTTTGATCCGTGGACCCCTGGTGGTCTCTAAGGACCTTTCAGGGAATGTCTGAAGTCAAAATTATTTCATAATAATCTAAGGCATTACTTACCGTTCTCACTGATGGTTCAAAGCAAAAATGTGCAAATCTGCGGGTGCCTTCACAAATCAAGGTAGTTGCACCAAATTGTACTAATATTCTCTACCACCACATACTCATGGTAAAAAAAAAAAAATTGAAATGTGCAGTTTCATTTAAGAACATTCTTACTAGAGCAGTAAAAACTATTAACTTTATTATAATCTCAGTCATTGAATGTGCCTCTTTTTAATAACAATGAAAACTGCTTGAAAAACACTTTTGCTACAAACTACTAAAGTATGATGATTGACTTGTGCAGTCATTTGCATTGCAAGCTGAACTAGCTGTTTGTTTTATATCATGAAACACTATTCTTACTTGATAAAACAACTGACAAATTCTGGTTATTCCAGCTTGGGTATTTGGTAGACATTTCCTTGAAAATGAACTAAGTGAGCCTATTTGTTCAAGGAAAATAATTGTTGCCAGTGATGAAAAAATTCCAGTTTCCAAAAGAAATTTAGAATTTTGGAAAACTTGTATCATTATGAGTTTGGCATTTCTCAATATTTAAGGACTTTTCTGATGGTGAAATTAAGGAATGTGATTTTTGGATATTGGATAATGTATTATGTGTCAACATTCAGAAGATCTGCATTTACTCAGTGAAACAATGTTTTCCAAATGGCTAATGTATGATGTTACAAAATAATTGATTTTATATGCAAGGCAGACAATGGATTTTAATTTAACTATATGAAAAGTTTATATATAAGATTTCAGATTCCACAGTGCAACCAACCTTTAAGAAATTACCTCTTGGAGAGTTTTGGTGTAGTATCAAAGAAGAATATCCACAATTTTCTTTTAAAAGCTATTAAAATACTTCTCCCTTTTCCAAGTACATGTTGATGTGAAGCAGATTTTCTTCATGTATTTTAACCAAAACAATTTGCAACAGGTTGGATGCAGAAGCAGATATGAAAATTCAGCTGTTTTCTATCAACCTGGTCTTAAACAGAACTTAATTTATTATTTTTTTATTGGTTGATTTTAGAGAGAAACATTTATTTGTTTTTCCACTTATTTATGCATTCATTGGTTGATTCTTGTATGTGCCCCATCCAGGGATCAAACTCGCAACCTTGGCACATCAAGACAATGCTCTACCCAACTGAGCTACCTGGCCAGGGCAAGAATTTAATTTAATTTGGCAAACAGCAATAGGTAAAACTTCCATTACAGAGATTCTTTGGGATCCTCAGTAACTTTTAGAAGTGTAAGAGGGGTCTTGTGACCAGAGTTTGAGATCTGCTGGTCTAAGCCACCCAGTCACCCCACCCTCCTTGCTTCTAGGTTTGGTCCATGGGTCGCCATAGGAACCAGACTGAGCCAATCAGAGGGAATCTCAGGAATTTATTGGATGGTGGGAGAGAGATGCTTCCATTTCCTGCTACACAGGAGCCAAGCAGTAAGTAGCCTCACAAGCTGCTGATAAAGCAACAATGGTGACTATAGGAAGAGATTATCTGAGGAAGAGAATAATGCTGTGGGAAGCAGAGAGGTTAGAAAGAAACCATTTCCTTTTTGACATTTTTGAGCCATTAGATCAGACCACCCCACAGCCCACCCTACTGCTTGCTATACATTCCCGGTTTTGAGCCAATCAATTCCACTATAGGTTAAACTAGTTAACCTCAGGTGCCTCAACTGATGCATTGTGACCTGTTTGTTTATATAATTGGGGTCTTCACTGGGAGAAGGGGGCGAGAAAGCCTAAACCAAGTACCTAATGTCTCAGATAATATACTTTGTAGGGTATACTTATTCAGCCATTATCATTAAAACACGATTTAGCTTCTGAGTAAAGTTGGAAGGCAGAGCAGGGTCTGTGAGGAAAGGAACCTAGCCGGGACAAGTGGGATAAAAAATGCTAACATATTTGAAAGCAATAAAGAACTGTGGCATATGATATTGAATAGCATGATTACAGCAGATTTTTTAATCTTTTTTGCTTTTATGTATTTCTCAAATTGGACATGAACATGTATTGCCTTTATTTTAAGGGAAAACTAGAACTATATTAATATTATTATTTTATTATTATTTATTGATTTTAGAGAGAAAGTGTGGGAAAAGGGAAAACACTTAGGCTTTCTCGCCCCCTTCTCCCAGTGAAGACCCCAATTATATAAACATGACATAACAGAGTCATAACAGATGCCGTGTTAGCTGACTAATGTCTGACCCATCCTTGCCTGAGAGCCACTATTGTTCTGGCCCCTATAAGACTGGCCGGGGACTTTCAGAGGTTCAGCTTGTCCCCTGGGGTGCAGTTCATCCCCCCGTGTATGCCCGGCGGGCTGCCACCGGGAAGAAGAGTGTGTGGTTTGTCTCTTGTGTACGTTCAGCCGGCCTCAGACAAATAGTCATGTCTCATCCACCTTTGGCTCCACAGTTTTCCTTCGGACTGTCCTGATCTAGTGTGAACCTCCCCCTGCCTTGATCGTTTGCATTACAGAGAGGAAGGGGGGAGAGAGAGAGAGAAAGAGAAAGAGAGGGAGAGAGGGGGAGAGAAACATCGATTTGTTGTTCCACTGATTTGTGCATTCATTGGTTGCTTCTTATATGTACCCTGACCAGAGATCGAACCTGCAACCTTGCATTCAGGACGACGTTCTAACCAACTGAGCTACCTGGCCAGGGCCTATATTATTATTTTTTAATAGCCTACTGAATAGGCTTAGAGAGCAGGTTGGCATTGGGATATGCCAAGAGAGCTCTTGGGCTAAAATTGCTAGCAGGGAAGAAAGAAGCTCTGTAAGGAATGCTGTGTGCCCAGAAAACAAACTTCCTTTCATTTACAGTTTGCCAAGAGCCAACCTCAAAGATTCAAGGGGATGAGCAAGAATCCCAAGGGTTAAGGAATCATTAACTATGCCTCGGTCAGATCAGCTGGAATATTTGCCGTTTAAAAAAAAAGAGAGAGAGGCCAAAGTGAAGATCATATTAACACTGGAAAAGGCTTAAGATATAATATTAACTGAAAACAAAAAAGAGGAGAGAGATTATATGCAAACTATCATGTGGCCAAAAACTGGAAGAGAGCTTAGGAAAAGGAAACAGTTGTGGTGTTAGGATGGTGGGATCATGAGTAATCTTTTCTTCCTTTTTAAGAAATGGCCTTTCATGTTGTTATAATATTATTTTTTACAATAAATAAAAATGAGTGGAGTCCCTGGTTCAAGTTACTGAGGTCTCAGAGTCCTCTCCAGATGGCCTGTTTCTTCGCGCCAGCCAAATGGCTCTCATCTGACACCAAGAAAAAAGCTGTGCCTTTTCCAGGACCTGGTATTTTCAAAGCTGTTAGGGGTGGCACTGATGTGACTTTTTTTTATAAGCGGCCAGAAGGAAAGAAAGGAAGGAAGCTGTAGCAGCCAAAACTGAGGATGTGTGTGAAGTAGGGGATCGGGAATCCCTGGCCCTCTACTACCACCTTGTTGTGGGGGTTCTGGCCCAGCCATTGCCTTTGTCTTTTTCTCCTGGCGGGCTTCACCTTGTGTCCAATTCCCATTCTCATCTTCCTGAGATGCAGTCTTTCCCTCAGTCCCCAGGGGGGCTGGAGCACAGCTGCAGCCAACAGAACACAAGCTCTGTCTGCTGCCCTGAAGTACAAAGGAAGTCAGTCCCTTGAGGTTTTTCTAGGAATGTTTCCTGTGAGCAAACAGGAGTGAAACAAACAAAGAAGGGAAAAAGACAAAAACATCAGGGGGAGGCTTTCTGTTGGCAGAGGGCAGCTCAGATGGAAGAAAGAGTTCCACACAGACAAAATTTTTTTGGAAGCTGTGGGACACATCTTCACACACGTAGATTCAGGTCCTCATTCTGTCCATTATATTAAATTGCACAAACATTTGCTGAGTGCCTCTTATGTGCCAGGTATTATGCTAAGTGCTTTATATAAATTAATCATTTTTACCTTCAGAACACCCTTATGTGGTAGGATCTTCTTATTCCCATATCTTTTCCAAGGACAGTGAGGTCTGGAAAACCTTAGGGAAATGGGTAAACTGCCCAAGGTCTCATGGCCAAGAAATGGAAAGTCAGGATTTGAACGTAAGCCATTAGACTCTAGAGCCCACCTAAGTCATGGTTCTTGCCCTGAAGGACCAAATGGTCTAACTGAAGAGGATATTTTAAAATAAATTAACAAAACCAGTAACACGATGAGATATAAGAGAAGAACTATTAACAAAGAGCCCTGGGAGCTTCAAGGGGATCATGGCTGGATATTCCTTAGAGCTCAAGGACACCTCTTAGAGGGGTGTGGAAATCAGTTTTAACCAAGAACTGCAAGACAAACAAAAGCTTTATTTGGGGGTCTTTTTAAAGAATTGCAATCCAGTAGACACAGATTTGGGTAGAAACCCAAGTGTGTTCCAAAGGGAAAAGATAGGGAGATAGTTTATAAAGACAGAAAAAGGGGGTTTTTCAAAAGGATTACAAGCTGTGTTGAAAGACCTGTGATTGGTGCTGACAAGCAGACTTATGGTATGCAATACCTGATTAACTGCTTATGTCTATTGCTAGGTGAAAATTTTATTTTTTAATAAAAAGTTCAATAATGCAGAACCATTTGTATCACGATGTAGCCATTTGGGTTAGCCCAGATCAAACATTCAGTTTTGACTTCCAGTCAAGATGGTGGAATAGGTAAACTCTGTGCTTGCTTCTCCCACGGCCACATCAAAATCATAACTAAATTACAGAACAACCACCCTTGAGAACCACCTGAAGCCTTGCTGAACAGAACTCCTATAACTAAGGATATAAAGAAGAAGACATGTGGAAACTGGTAGGAAGGGCAGAGACCTAAAATGAGTTGGTCCCACACCCATGTGTGGTGATTGAGAATCAGCAGGGATATCTTGGCTTCAGATGTGCCCCCTGAGAGCGAGGAGTCCCAATCCCATACTGGGCTCCCCAATTCAGACCACTAGTGTCAGGAAGAGGAGTCCCCACAATATCTGGCTGTGAAAATCTGCGGGGAATCCATCAGGGTGGGGCAGAGGGCTTCTGGAGTCCCATGTATTCCTTTTAAAGGGCTGAGCAAGGATTTAGTTGCTAACAGACTCACTTGCTCTGAGCTCTGGGGCTGGGGCAGCAGCTTGAAAAGGGCCAGGTACATATCAAAAGGAACGAAATTGTCTGGCTTTAGGGTGAGGGCTAGTGGGGCAGCTCTCTCCAGTTAAAGTGCCCTCAGGTACCATTGTGCTTTCCTCAAGCCCCCACTCCACAGAGCAGAGCCTTCAGGCACAGGCCACGCCAAATCGGAGCTTTCCGTTAACCTACCTAACACTATTCCAGCCCCACCCAATTCACGCACCTAGCTGGAACCTCTTTCAGAGCTAATCCACAAAAGTGGCCAGCTTGACTTCACACTGCAAACTTTCCTAAAACCTCTCAAAGGTCTACAAGCTCCAAAAAAGCAGCAGCTGGCCTCAGAGTTCCCCGTACCTCTTGCTATGTGGCCCAAACCCAGCACTGGTGGAAGCCAGCCTTCGTTCACAGCATAACCACTCCCGCGTGCCTGCAAGCCCAGCGTAGAAAGCTTCCAACCAAGGAATACTTTGTAGTTCCTACCAGGTGGCCTTGGGCCAGACACAGAGAGTAGTTGACTTTAGCTTGCACTGGAGCACCTCCCAAGAGTCCCCAGAACCAACACACCTGGTTGCTGCCTTCAGAACATAACAGAGCACCACCCAATTAGTGCCACAAATGACAAACCCAAAGGGTGGACTCAACAGACACCAGAAACCTGCTAAAGTGAATCCTGCTTCATGAGGTCATCCCCCACACAACAGCTTGTCCCCCGTAGTCAAGGCTAGTCCTCACAGCCAGTCAGCCTGAGCATCAGTCCTACCCATTAACGTGCCAACGGCAATCAAGTCCCAACTACAATAAGAGAGCACATACAACGCGCACAAGGGACACCCCTGGAGCACCTGGCTCAGGTAAAGAGGAGACCCACCACTGGGCCCCACAGGACGCCTGCTACATACAGCCACTCTGCCAAGACTGGGAAATGTAGTAGTTCTACCTGATACATAGAAACAAACACAGGGAGACAGTCAAAATGAGGAAAAAAGAAACATGTCACAAAGGAAAAAATAGGACAAAACTCCAGAAAAAGAACGAAACGAAATGGAGGCAAGTAAACTACCAGCTTCGAATTCAAAACGCTGGCTTTAAGGGTGATCAAGAAACTTAGTGAGAACATCAACAAAGAGGTAGTAAGCATAAAAAAGAACATGGAAACCGTAAACAAAAGCAATCATAATTAAAGAATATAAAACTAAAATGAAGAACACACTAGAAGAAATCAATAGCAGGTTAGATGAACACAGAGGATCAGAAAGCGATTTGGAAAATAAGGTAGCAGAAAGCCCCCAACAAACGAGTGTTGGCGAA